ATTATATAAACTTGCCATTAAATAAATTATATGTAGAACAAAGGCAATAAATACTCAAAATTCATCACTTCTTAATTTAAAAATGTTTATTTATTTATTTTTGAGAAAGAGAGAGACAGAAAAGTAGAGAGGGAGAGGGAGACAGAATCCCAAGCAGGCTCCACGTTGTCAGCGCAGAGCCCGACTCAGGACTGAACTCACAAACCCTGAGATCATGACCTGAGCTGAAATCAAGGTCAGATGCTTAACCGACTGAGCTACGCAGGTGCTCCCATCACTTCTTAATTATGTTGCCGCATTATTATCCTCTTCTGTTCTTGAGGTTATTTGTGTCTATTGTATCTGTATGGAGGAAATACTATATGTATTAGTTATTGGGTGCTGTGTAACAAATTACTCCACCAGCAGCTTAAAACAACATCTATTCTCTAACGGTTTCTGTAGGTTAGCAATTTGGTTGCTGCTGAGCTGGGTCGTTTTGGTTCAGGGTGTCTTCTGAGGTTGTAGTCAGCTGTCGGAGATGCCACCATCTCAAGGTTTGGCTGGGACTGAAGGATGTACTTCCAAGCCTGTTCACATGGTTGTTGACAGGCCTCAGTAATTCACAGGCTGATGCACTTAAGGATGTCAGTCCCTCTCAGCTGTTTGACAGAGGCTTCCGTTCAGGTCCTTGCTATGTGAGCTTCTCCACAAGGTGGTCCAGGGCAAATTATAAGAGGAAGAGTGGAGGGAGAGAGAGAAAGATTGAAACTGCGGTCTTTTTATAACCTGATTTTGGTAGATACGTCCCATCACTTCTGCTGTATTACGTTCACTAGGGGTGAGTCACTAAGTCCTGCCTACACTCACGTGTAAGGGAATTAAGCTCCACCTCTTGAAAAGGAAGAGTATAAGGAATGTGAATACACACCACGCCATCTAAAGGTGTGCTAATGCGTATCTCTGCTCAACACCTGTGCTCGGTAAGGTCACATCCTTAATTTGACATCAGCCACGGTGGGAATATTTACACCGTGGAAGTCAGCAAACATTCTAAATCAGGTCTCCTCACCCCACCCCTGGAGAGCTGAGTGGAAAACGTTTACCAGCACACCACTGGATGGATATAGAGCTACGTGCTCATGGAACTTATGAGGGGTAATGAATTTTAGACAGGGCTTTGGAAGAGAGAATAAAAGGCTTGGAATAGAGGAAGAGATAGTTTCCGGATTTGAAAAGAGTAGAAATGATGCAGGAAATGGAGGCTTGGGGAGCTTAAATATGCCCATACTGATGTCCAAAAGTGATGTGAAAAAAGATCTCTCTTTTTTACACATGCACAATTTTAAAGTTTATTTATTTATTTTGAGACAGAGAGTGAGAGCGAGAGAGCAAGAGAGAGAGAGAGAGAGAGCAGAGAGAGCATGAGTGGGAGAGAGGCAGAGAGAAAGGGAGAGAAAGAATCTCAAGCAGGCTCCACACTGTCAGTGCAGAGCCCAATGCGGGGCTTGAAATCACAAACTGTGAGATCATGACCTGACCTGAAATCAAGAGTTGGAAGCTAGGGGCGCCTGGGTGGCGCAGTCGGTTAAGCGTCCGACTTCAGCCAGGTCACGATCTCACGGTCCGTGAGTTCAAGCCCCGCGTCAGGCTCTGGGCTGATGGCTCGGAGCCTGGAGCCTGTTTCCGATTCTGTGTCTCCCTCTCTCTCTGCCCCTCCCCCATTCATGCTCTGTCTCTCTCTGTCCCAAAAATAAATAAAAACGTTGAAAAAAAAAATTAAAAAAAAAAAAAAAGAGTTGGAAGCTTAACCTACTGAGCCAGCCAGGTACCCCACAAATGCCCAATTTGAAATGTAGGTTGCATACTAGATTTAACTGTAGGTATACAAAGTCAAACACATTAGAGACTTAGCATGCAGGATTTTCTACCTGGCAATAAGGATATATGTGTATATATATGTGTGTGTGTATATATATGTGTATACACACATATATATGGCTTTTATGTAATTGGCTATGAAACCACAAACAAGTAGTATGTGCTCCAATGAAGATGACCTATGCCTAAAATAGTCCAGAAATTCAAGGACCAAGTTTTAATTCCTTTAGACTTGTTCCTTGGTGTATGTAGTATGCCCCCAAATAAAGAAGGAGCTCTATCATCTATCATCTATTTTTTTTCTAAAAAAACTCTTCCAGAATCATAACATTTTAGATCTGAAAAAGACCTTAGGAAACATGTAGGACAGGGGCACCTGGATGGCTCAGTTGGTTAAGTGTCTGGTTTGATTCCAGTCGGCATTGATCTCATGTTGGGTGAGTTCATGCCGTTCAGACTGGGCTCCTCTGAGAAGTGTGGAGCTAAGTCTTGAGATTCTTGCTCTCCCTCTCTCTCCCTGCCCCGCTCCCACTCATGCTCTCTCTCTCAAAATAAATAAACACTAAAAAAAAAAAAAAAAAAAAAGAAAGAAAAGAAAAGAAAGAAAGAAAGAAAGAAAAAAGAAAGAAAGAAAGAAAGAAAGAAAGAAAGAAAGAAAAGAAGACATTTAGGACAGTATTTCTCAAGTGAGATGGTCAATCAAATATCAAAATCGAAAATACTTGGTGTTCTTGTGAATACTTGGAACACATGTCAGACCTGCACTGATGGGGTTCGTGAAGCTGCACATTTTACAGACTCTCTAGATGATTCGCTTGCCCTCAAATGAATTATCCAATCAGAGCCTTTTGTTTTCTATACACGGGAAACGAACTTCTAAGGTGCAAAATTTCCTCCTTAAGTGAGACCACATAACCATTAACATTCCACCCACTTAAAAACAAGTAAAAGCAACCCATAAAAATGAGATTTGGAAAAAAAAATGAGATTTGGGAAAAAATAGAAAACACGCCCTTTGTTTACGGAGACAGCTAAAGGGCAACACAGGACTTCAATGAATATTATGTTGTGCATGTGTATAGTTACTAGTTGATATGCCCCACCTAGCCACAAATTAGTGTGGTTACCTTAAATTGCTAACATGAAAATCTTAACTTCCCACTTCTGAAGGTATTGGTTTTAGCCTCTCCGTTTTCTTTTTCTAGGTTTCCAAGGTTGCTCTTTTGGGCATGATTTTAGAAATGTAATTATAACTCTGGTTTTAAACTTCTGGACTATGTAATCAAGCACAGACTGGTCCCGGGGGAAAATATACAGTTCTTAGCTCTGTGTACATTGACAAGGAACATGACTGGATTCGAATCTAATGAGTGGCATATGTCTTCACAGTGGCAGCTTCCCCCCCCCCCCAAAAAAAAGAAATCCAAAAAAGAAGACCCATGCTGCTGTAGGAAATGTAGACAGAGGGGTGTGGAACCAGTTTCTCCAGAAATATTTTTCTGTTTTTCTTTTTTAAGTATATTTATTTATTTTGGGGGGGGGGCAGGGGCAGAAAGGGAATCCTAAGCAGTGTCTGCCCTGTTAGCATGGAACCTGAGGTGGGGCTCTATCCCACAAACTGTGAGGTCCTGAGTTGAGCTGAAATGAAAGGTCCAATGCTTAACTGACTGAGCCATCCAAGCACCCCAAAACAATTTTTTTTATCCAATAAAATCATTTAAATGTCTGGGTCCTTTTCCAGGAGAAAGTTTTTATTCAGTGTGATACATTGTTGGGCAGGTAGAAAAAGAGTAAGTTAAGGGAAAAAAAAGTGTCTAACATGAAAAATGACCCACACGGTGTCCAGTTTTTCTGCTTGCTTAGAGTACTCGATGGATTATTTAATTAGATGTATACAGTTCTTACATCCAAATGGCAACCTCTTCAGAATCACACCTATGTCAGAGTTGCTCCAGGAATATAAATCTTGTCCAAAGGGTGGGCATTTAAAGCTCTAAATGATTACAGATTTTTTACAATAACTTTAGGAGGGTTCCGGAGACATTATTTCTCAGGATCAGAGTTTTCTTTCTTATAACAGAATTTCATCTTTTCATTTTTAAATGTTTTCTTGGAAAAGATTCTCCAGCCCCAGTCAAGCATTCAGATGACAGCAGTCCCACCCAACATCCTGGTTACAATCTAGTAAGAAACTCTGAGCCAGAACTACCCAAATAAACTGCTCCTGAAAGATTTAATCTTAATGCCAAACTACATCCATTGTCCCCAGCGTTACACTTTGTTTTCCAGAGGGGCGTTACAGATGGATGTTGGCACAGGAACTGCCAAATGACAGCCTCTGTTTGTTTTTTCCTGAAAGAATCCAGAAATGTGCATTTAACGCAAGTGAAGACAGTATTTGCAAGATGATAGAATGCATTTTTATTCTCTTCAGCCTCTAAATCAAAGTGCACAATGTTCTGTTCTCCAGCAAGACCTTGCAATAAATGAAAATCCAACTCTTGGGTTTGTGTTTGGACTATCAATACAGTCATTAGAGATCCATCAGAGGAACAAGGTAACTGGCTGCCAATACTTCCTTTTTCGTTCGTTCTTTCTTTCTTTCTTTTTCTGGAATATTCTCTAATTATCGGTGCATCAAGATGGAAACCCTGGTCTTAGAACAGATGTTACTTTAAAAGCCTCCACCAGCAACCCAAGGGTACTTTTCCGGTGCCGTGGGTCTCTCAATGACATCAACGTTCCCAAACCCAGCCCTGAGCTGTCACTTCACCTGCGTCGTCCCCTGCGCCATTCCGCGTTTGACGTGGTTCCGAGCCAAGCACGCCAGCAGCCCTCCCCGACCACTACCGAATCCCGCTCGCGGGCGCCGGCCCCCTCCTCGCAGTGGTTTCTCCTGCTGCTCCCCTGGGCTCGGCGGCCGGTAGTGCGGCCCGGAGCCGCCGCTTCGCCCTTCCCCTGTGGGTGGCCCCAGCGCGCAGCGCTCACTCGGTGGCCCCGGGAAGGTGAGGCGGGCGGAGGCTGCTGCGGAACTTGGCGCCCCCAGCAGCGCCGGCCGGCAGAGTTGCCGAGCGCAGACAAAAGAGGCCGCGGGCTCAGCGAGGCACGGGCGGCGGCGGCGGCGGCGGCGGCGCGGGGCGATGGCCGCGAGAGGAGGCCGGGCGCTGCTGGCGCTGTGCGGGGCACTGGCCGCCTGCGGGTGGCTGCTGGGCGCCCAAGCCCAGGAGCCCGGGGCGCCCGCGGCGGGCATGAGGCGGCGCCGGCGGCTGCAGCAGGAGGACGGCATCTCCTTCGAGTACCACCGTTACCCCGAGCTGCGCGAGGCGCTGGTGTCGGTGTGGCTGCAGTGCACCGCCATCAGCAGGATCTACACGGTGGGGCGCAGCTTCGAGGGCCGGGAGCTCCTGGTCATCGAGCTGTCCGACAACCCCGGTGTCCATGAGCCTGGTAAGGGCGCTGCACCCTGCCGTCTCTGGGGGGCGTCTCGGAGGGCCGCAGAGGGGTGGACTGGTGGCGGTGGGGGAAGGTGGGGCCCGGGTGCCCTTTGGGAAAGGGCGGCTGGGGTGGAAGGTGAG